CAAATCGAAGACAAAGAGTAATGATAAATGGTAATTACTCTGATTGGGTATCAGTAAAAAGTGGAGTTCCCTAAGGTTCTGTTCTCTCAGCTCTATTATTCATTATATACGTTAACGATATTCCCAATATAATTACTTCAAATGCAGCACTTTTTGCTGACGATACAAAAATATTTTACCCTATTACTAATTTGCATTCACACACCGTACTTCAAAATGATATTGATATCTTGGTTGACTGGGCAACTAAATGGGGGATGAAATTTAATATAGAAAAATGTTCAGTTTTACACCTAGGTCATAAAAATAAACATCTTGTCTATTCTATGTACGATCCAGTGAAGAAAACAAGGATTGATATCAAATCTACCAACTCTGACCTCGGAGTACATATCGATAATAACTTGCTATTTTCTAAACATACCTCTACTCAAGTTAATAGGGCAATGCAGATGCTATTTCTAATAAAAGATCTTTTTCTTATCTAAATTCATTTTGTTTTAAAAGACTGTTTTCAGCACTAGTACGACCATATTTAGAATATTGTGGTTCTGTATATAACCCTCGTCTACTGAAAGACAAACGACAAGTTGAAAATATACTCAGAAGAGCATCTAAATCAGTTCATGGATTAAAAAGTCTTACATATCACCAAAGACTATTAAAAATTAATATGACAACCATAAGATACAGACTAATCCGGGGAGATTTAATAAACGTCTATAAATAGCTAAACAACTACTACAACTGTCAAACGATCTTTCCAAAAACAATTATAAATTCTATTACAAGAGGACATTCATTAAAACTAGAAAAACCTTATTCTCGTCTAGCTTCTCGTCAATACTTTTTCACCTTACGAGTAATCAACAAATGGAACTCCCTCCCAGATGACGTTGTAAATGCTACTTCTGTGAGCAATTTAAAAAAAAATTATCTAAAAGAAGAAAAAACAATTTATGATTAGTATATTTATATAGTAACCATAAGACAGGTTGACAGGCATTTCATGCCTATACAAATCCAATTTGTAAACCTTAATAATAATAATTAATTAATAATTACTTGTCTTTGTATGGAGTACTATTGTCATATTTGGACTGGTTCTCCTAATGAGGTTAGTTTCTTTTAGACAAAGCCCAAAGTTTAGTTGTAAATGTTGGGCATTAACAACCTAAGTTTAGTTTTAATTTAAACTGTTTTGTTTTAATTTAATAATACTTTTCTAATTTTAATTTTTAGTAAATATTGTGCTAATAATAAAATAATAATAACTTTTTTGTCTTTATTTTAAACGATTTTAAAGGTACTCATTTTAACAACTTGTTCCATCTTAGGATGGTTTCACAGGAAATAAAAGGTGTAAAATCATTAAATATTTTGTAATAAAATATGATTTAATAGGTATAGTATTAATTATTTTCCTGAGTTACGCCCATAGCAACGGAACAATGCAATATGAAAACTTTGTTTTAGTACTATTTAACTACTGTTTTATTATGCTGTTTTGTCTGCATTTACGAAAGGTTTTTTTTAGAGGTATGTAGAACTATTAAAAATAAATTCAGAAATAGCACCATTTCTAGTTCATTTAATTACTTTCTATGTTAACTAAATGTTGACTGGAAATGCTTGTGCATTTTTCTTTAATAGTACTCTATTAAATGGACTTGTGAAATAATCAAAAAAGATTTTGATGATTTGAGTAATGACGGCCTTTGGAAAAAATGCCTTTATGGGCAAACCCAAAAATGTAATGAAAGACTAAATAATATCGTTTGGTCCTTATGTCCTAAAAATATTTTTGTACAGACAGACGTCCTTGAAATGGGAGAAAACTTTGTAGTTATTTCTTTTAGTGAAGGTGTATCCGGTATTTATTACGCATTTAAACATTTAAATCTTGAGTTAGGAATAAATATAATAACCTGTCTAGTTAAAAAGACAATATATGAAAAAAATAATTAAAAAAGACACAATATGATAAAAAAGAGACAACAATTGAAAACAAGATAAAAGGAGTAAATAGAAAAGATTGGATTGATAAAGAACAAGAAAAAAAAAAAAAGAAATGAGATATTGAAACTTATTTTTATGTATTTTTAAACGCTGAATCCAAATATAAGGTCCGTTTTTGTTGGTAAGCTCTAGTTTTTTTGTAATTCTCAATTTATCATTTTTTAAAAAAATTATGTTTTTTCGTAACTATTTTTATTCAATAGTCACTAAAAAAGCAACCATCTTATTGTTTTTATTAGATCAAATATATATTATGATGGCTTCTTCAAATCGACATAAGTGCAAGCATAATCCTAACTCATTTTGTTATATATGTGGTTGCTATGCACTTGTTTGACAAAGACGAAACATAACTAACTTTGTGAAAATAGCATATGAATTGTATTTCGATATTAAACTTGGTGAACAAGATAAAAAATGAGTTCCACATACTGTATGCCATATTTGTGAAGAAAGTCTTCGAGATTGGACAAAAGGAAAAAGAAATAATTTACCTTTTGAAGTCCCTATGGCTTGGAGGGAAACACTAAATCATATTGATGACTGCTATTTTTGTCTCGCTGATACTAGTGGTGTTGGCAAAATTAAGAGACAAAAAATAACTTAATCCAACATTCCTTCTGCTATTAGACCAATTCAACATTCTAACGAGATTCCATTTCCAATTTTCAAAGGTTTATTTTTGTCAAAAGATGAGCAAAGCGTGTCTGCTACAGAAACAGAAGAATTTTTACCAGATTCGGAAGACTTCTCATCTAATACTAAACAATTCTGTTTGCCTCAGTGTTTTAGTCAGATAGAACTGAATGACTTAGTTCGTGATTTAGAACTTTCTAAACAAGCAGCAATAGTATTAGCGTCACGTTTAAAAGAAAAAAACCTACTTGATAACTTTGCAAAAGTATCTTATTTTAGAACAAGAAATGTAACCTTTGTTGACTTTTTTTCAGAAGTCAATTTATTTGTTTACTGTCATGATATTTCAGGTCTCCTACTACAGTTAGGTATTTCTGTATACAATCCAGCAGAATGTAGACTTTTTAACGACAGCTCAAAGCGAAGCCTCAAAAGCGTTATATTGCACAATGGAAATATTTTTGGTTTTGTACCAATTGGTCATTCTGTTTATTTGCGAGAAACTTACGATGATATTAAAATGGTACTTAACTTGATTAAATATCATGAGCACAACTGGATTATTTGTGTAGATCTAAAAATGGTTAACTTTCTACTGGGTCAGCAGAAAGGTTTTACAAAATTTCCATGTTATCTCTGCATGTGGGACAGTCGAGCAAGAAATTAACACTGAATACAAAAAGAATGGCCTGTTCGCAAGACTCTCACAGCGGGCATGCAAAAATTGTGAATGAACCGATTGTTAGTCGAAACAAAATAGTTTTTCCACCACGTATTAAACTTGGATTCATGAAACAATTTGTTAAAGCACTAAGAACTGATAGTGATTGTTTTCAGTATATAGTTAAATAATTACCAGGATTGTCAATAGAGAAAAAAAAAGCAGGAGTTTTTAACGGGCCACAAATTCGCCATCTTATAAAAGATAAAGAATTCATTAAAACAATGAAAACCAAAGAGAAAACGGCTTGGTTATCGTTTGTGATTGTTATAAAAAATTTTCTTGGAAATAAAAAAGCAGAAAACTATGCAGATTTAGTTGATAAAATGTTGAAAGCCTTTTGTGATCTTGGATGCAAAATGAGTATAAAGCTTCATTATATAAATAGTCATCTTGACCAGTTTCCTAAAAATCTTGGAGATGTGAGTGAAGAACAAGGAGAGCGATTCCATCACGATCTTTAGACAATCGAAGATCGTTACCAAGGAGGTTGGGACATACACATGATGGCAGACTACTGCTGGGGCATCAAGCGAGAAGATACAGGAAAAGTTTATAAACGAAAGAGCAACAAGCAAAAGTTTCTTCCTGATTAAGTAGTTGTAAATAAGCAATATAATCTGCAATCTTTTTTAAAACAAAGTAAAAAAGATTTAGATCTTTCACTAAAGTAAAAGCTTTTTTTATTAATCAATAAAAAGTTAATAATTTTGCTAGGACTTGGATATTTGAAAAATATTTATTTTAATCAGTTTACATTTAGTTTTATTTGCTTTCTGTTTTTGTTTTAGTTTTGTAAAAAACTTGTCCTAGCATTTCCAAATAAGTTTCAAATCTTTATTTTAGAACTATTTCTACTGTTTTGCAAAATTAAAAAAATATAAATTGCAAAAAATCTGTAGCTTTCCATAAAAAATGAATGCCAGATTTGAATTCAGCGTATCAAAATTATGTAAGAACAAGTGTCAAATTTAATGGAATAAATTTTTTGTAGACCTGTGTTATTTATTGAGTTTTAAATAATTTTTGAATATTTTATGGGGTTTTAAAAAAAAAGTTTTTGTTTTTTTGTAGCAATCCTAGTTCACACTCTACCTGCTACATCAGAAAATAATACAATAGAATATTGAGTTGATTAGCCATTCTGGAATAAACATGTTTTGAAAAATAGCTTTTTTTTTTTTTTTTTTTTTTAAACCGAATTGCCCCCTTTATTTAAAAAAATTAAACAAACTTTAATTTTAAATTTTGTTCAAATTTGTAAGACTGATTTTAGAACGAAACTAGGTTATTTTATTAAAATAAATTTATTTCCAACCACTTTAAATGATAAAAATAAAGCATTTAAATTCTAAAAGCATTTAAATGTTCTATAGACATCACAAAAACTTTTATTTTATTTTATAGAAAATTAGTATATTATAACTAATTCACGCTTTTTGAAACAGTTTAAAACCAGCGGTCTCAAGAAGACATGTAAATTTGTAGAGCAACATAGGAGAGAAGTAGGGAAAATACAGTATTTTTCCGCGATGTTTCAGTGCAAATGCCAAAAATATCATCAAAATGAAACTACTAATACAATAATAAACTTTAATAGTCGTTTAAAAAAAAAAACTATATATATAGACACAGTTGTAAAAACGAAAATCTTAACGGAAAAATTAAATATAATACATATGGTTGTCAACATCATGTTAATTTTCGTGTTACCTTACAAAATTTAAACATAACATTAAAAATTGTCGTAAACAAATAAAATAAGATCTTTTTACGGTATTACGTAAATTAACGACATTACGTAATTAAGCAACATTAACAAGCTAAACAAAATAACAACCAATAAACAATCGGAAATGAAAAAAAATTACAAAACAATCGCTTTGTGCGATCCACTAAGTCCACCAAGTTGCAGAGAATTAAAAGTGACGTTAAATTTCTTTTTTCCAACCACCTGTGTTTAGAAAAAAAAAAATTATTATTTGTAGGCTCACTGGAAATAATATAACAAGATTTTGCAAATTATTTGCGCGTTATTGGCAACAAAAAAAAAGAAGAAAGAAAAAAACCTCAGGAGTAATCTGAAATCGGAAATCAGTTTTTTCATTTGCAGGACAATCACTAAAAAAAGAAAAAGAAAACGAACATAACAAAAATACATATTAGAATTTTAATGTTTAAAAAAATAAAATAAATTCTGATAACTGTTAAAAATTGCTTTGTAACTTACGGTAACTTTACAGAGAATCCTTTCTTAACAATGGTGCCATCTAAAATTAACTTGCATCGAGTAAGGTTCCTACCAATAATATTGTTAAATGGAATCACTACTTCGTAAGTCTGTCCTACGTAAAGTTCTTCTGGAAGACCAGTAATCACGAGGTCAGGTTTGGTGATGACAAAAGTTACCTCTTCCATTATAATATACTTTTTTTCTTTAACAGTGACATCAGCCTGGACAAGAAATACTAGAGAAGCATCATCAACAACACATTTCAGGTAATCGGCAGCCGGTACTTTGATTCTAATAACTTTTTCTAAAATAATCTTTAAACATTAACTAAAATAAATTTAACTTCTAAAAAATGAAAATCAAGCAAAAAAAATTTATAACAATTCTATTCACAAAAATTTACTGACCATCTTTTTTCCTGACAGTAACTTTTGGAATGTTCTGATTTGACAAGGCTCTGATCACTGAGCCATTGTAGCGCTTAATAGTTCCCGCTAATAATATTGGTATCTCAATTTCTTTGTTCATTGTATTTTTAATGCGCACAGTCAAAACAATATCATCACCCATTTCAAATTTTTCTTTATTTCCCAACACACTCAAAAAGACTTTGGCTAACAAAGTTAAAAAAAAAATATAATAGTAAAAAAATAATTAACATACATAAAAAAACATTATGATCTTTAGCTAACCTAATTTTAATATTTGAACTTTGAACTAATTAAACAAAAAATAAATAAAATAAAGTAAATACCATTTCGGGAGCTGTATATTTTTTGAGCGTATTCATGGCCCGAACTTTGTAGAGCATTTTTGAGAGCAGCTATCTCATGTATACTTCCTTCCACATACTTGTAATCATTAATAACAGAATCATCTTGCTCATCTATTCCAACTGCTTTTGTACTCATTCGTTTACCTTTATGATATGTGTATATATATATATATATATATATATATATATATATATATATATATATATATATATATATATATATATATATATATATATATATACACACACAGAGCCATGGTTAGGCTGCCCCACACCCCCTAATTGGGAGGGACCAAGCGAATTTCAGAGGGATTCTTTTGTAATTTAAAATTTTTTTTTAATGTTAGAGTTCTATTGTAGGTATGGAGAGGAGGGGGAAGGCTCAAACCCTCTAGCTGCAGCCATGCATATATATAAATGAAGACCACATGGGAAAAACTGCAGAGTCAATATTATACTAATAAGAAAAAATCCTGTCCGATGCAATAAAGAGGCATAGCCTATTGTTTACCTTGATAGTAAAAGCAAAGTCACTAGGTTCATACAATATTTTATGTCATGTGATTCAAGAATCCAATGAAATGCAACGCTGATTAAAAAAACATTTAAGATGTTGGAATTTAGTAAGTGCATCAATCTTACTAATAAACCAAAAAAGAAGAAATATAATTGAAAGATTAAAAGAAGAACTAAAAAAACAGAAACTTTCAAATCACACAACTTAACTAGAGTACAAATGCACAAAATTTAAGTGTTTTGAAATTTTAACAGAAAATGATAAGAAAATGATAAAATGTTTATTGGCTAAATTTAATGTCTTCTAAATACTTGCGAAATTCTTATTTAGCTGGGCTCATAACAATGTGGGATGTTGCAAGAAGGTGACCACAAAAAAAAAATAAAAAATACAACCAAATTAAATAATAACAAATACAAGATTTTTGTAAATGCAAAAAAGTGTGTGTGTGGGGAGGGAGCACATGTTCCCTGGAACCCCGGTGTCGTCGGCCCTGAGGATTATACTATCTTCAGGAATAGGTCATTAAGGGGTTGTCCATTAATTATGTCAACAATTTTTTGGCAATTTTTACCTCCCCCTTTTCTGTCAACAACTTGTCAAATTTCTAGAGACCCATAATAAAATTATGTCATTATTTAATAATGAAGCCCTGAACCCAACAATTAATAATGAACCATCCTGAATGAATCAATTGCGATGATGGTGATAAATATTTTATAGTTTATGTACAGTGAAGAGTCACAATCCATGAATGTGCTAATCCTTCTCACTTTGACTTTAGACCTAAACCAATTTTCACAGTGAAAGCCAATTATTTTAAAAGAGACTAGTATAACAAAAAATGCATTTAACAAATTGCATTAACTAGAAGATTTTATTAATGTTAATAAAACAATTAGAGCAGGCCTTAGAAGTATACGAAAAACTAACATATTTATTTTTAATTCAATTTTAATATCTTTTCACCAAAAGATCATAGAGAAAAGCACAATAACAGACCTCATAGACTTAATGAAAATATTGCAAAAAGAATACAAGATCACATTTCTGCTTTCAGAGGAAAAGAACCTTACTATACCCAGATCTGTATCCAGTATCCAGACCTGTATCCAGATCTGCAGATTTCTTATTAAACATACAGAAATTTTTTTAGTAATAATTTTGATATTTCATTTGGATACCCAAGAACAGACACCTGTTCAAAATGTGATGAAATAATAAGCATCAAAAAAGCTTCTAAAGAACTTACCAATAATCCTGACAAAGAATATCTTAAGCGGGCTCTCAAAAAACTCCAATTAGAAAAAGATGTTCATCAACTCAAGGCAGAATTCTTCTACAAAAGAAAAGGAGAAGCTCAACTTAAGGCAACCAAAGTAAAAAATTTTGAAACCATTACTGTTGATATTGGTAAAAATTTGAACCTGCCAAACATAACTACAAATGACTTTAATGGGAGAAGAAAAATAAATTTTGAATTTTAATATTTTATTAGTTGCTCTCAAGCAATAAGGTTTTCTCAAGCAATGAGAAGTTTAGTGATTTATGTGCAGGAAAAAAACTACACAATCTTTATCACATTCATATCTTGAATGTGATAAAGACAGGTCTTGTTAACTGCAAGGAACATGCTAGCATACCTTCACACAGGTATGAAATAATCAGGGCTGCTAGAAAAAAGCCAAGCTCATACAATATAATTGAGTTAAAGGAAGATATGCTAAAAAAATATGACAGTTTTAAAACCTGTGTATAAAGTCCTATGGCTATGAGACCTCTTAAAGAAGTTTCTCAAGCAAATCACCTGGAGTAATGAACTGAAGAGACTTGTGGAACGGACTTAACCTTATAGCTGTTACTATTGCCGAGTCAGTAAAACTATATCAGAAAAAATTATAGTTCCGTAGCCAAAGATCTTCAGATCCTCAAAAAATTTACTTTATCGCCTGAATTTTATGACAGTTTGGAACACAATGAAACTAATGATGATCAACTTGATGAACTATAAGATAATAAAATAAAATATAAGAACTGCTTTCTTTAAATAAATTTTCTTTATTCAAACCTTGATCTCATATAATACAAAAGGTTTTGTTTGTTTTTGTTTTGCTTTTGCATTTTCTTTTTGTATTTTTTATGCTTTGTTTAGGTATTTTAGTTAATTTATTTATTCTTTTGATTGTGTGCCTGCTACTGACTCAATCCAGCTATGATACATATTTATTAGTTAGGGTAATGTAGGCTTGCCATTTATTAATTGGGTAAAGTTGGTAAAGTAGTTGGGTAAAGCCATAATTAGTTTAGGTAAAGTAGGCTTACCATTGTTCTGTCCACATAATCCCTAAGTAAGCCCAGGCAAAAAAAACTGATGTCATGTCGTCAGCCAAATGATTAACTTATTCCAAAATATACTTTAGTATCTTATTATAACTTAGTTATTTTATACTTTCATATATATAGTTATTTTATTTAGTTATTTTATACTTTCATATATATAGTTATTATATATAGTTACTTAGTTTATTTAATAACTTAGTTTAATGTGTCTTATTTATTTATTAACTTAGTTTAATATGTCTTAAGTAGAATTTAAGACCATTTACATTTGAAAAAAGGTTTGAAAAAAAAATTGAAAAATCCATTCTTTACAAAATATTCTTTTGACTTTATTGATATAAAATACTTTTGTATAATTACAGTAGTGTACACTGGATTTTAGATGTTTGAGTTTTGACACTTACAGGCATTGTGCAAACTCCATACTTTTGTATGTTCATGCTTATGTCAAATGTTTTGCAAAGAATTGCGGTGATTGAAGCTTGGTGACAAAAAAAAACCCCCAAAAAGTTAAAACTTTATATGGTCATAATTTTTGAAAAATAAGAGGTTATTGCATGAAATTGAAATTACCGCAACTCTTTGAAAAACGTTCTCACTTGACATAAACATACAAAAGTTTGGAGTTTGCACAATGCCTGTAAGTGTCAAAACTCAAACATCTAAAAATCCAGTGTACACCACTGAATTAGATTGTATATTGAGCACTCTCTAAAAAAATAATGAAAACAATGCTATATCTCATAATTACTATTATAATTGGTTTTAAACTTTTAAATTTAAATATCTCTTAACTAAAAAAGTGCGACTGCCATTTTTTCCCATGATGTCATATATTTTCCATGTGGTCATATATATTTAAAAGTTATTTAAAAGTTTTAAAAAAACATTTTATAAAAAATTAAGATTTTAATGCCAAAATTAAAAAATATGCATTTTTACAAAGTTTTTTGATTATTTATTTACTCAAAATTTTTTATAAAACAATAATTTTTTTCAAATTCTTACATAATTTTGCTTCTTTTTAATTAATTTTTCAAAACTTTTTAAATTATTATTATTTAGGTGCCCCAAGAAGACCTAACGGTCTTATCACAGAACACTGTGGAAGTGCATTTAACCAGGAAGTTCACGCCTCCTTCCTTACCGTGACGCGTAAATATGTCCAAGGCTCGTTTCGAACCTGGATCTCCTGCTTATAAAGCAAGCGCTCTAAACACTGCGCCACGACCGCACAAATAAGACCCAACGCGATACATATATATATATATATATATAAATATATATTTATATATATACACAACTATAAATGCATGTTAGACAAAATCTCTGATGTCACACTAAAATAGCCTGGTACTAGAAGATTCAGAACACATATTGACTATCGTATAACCTGCTGCTGCAAAGGAGTGCAGCTACATTGATAAGGAGTTTGGGCTGGGGCAGCAATATTTTCTTTCATTATCTTTTGTAGTGCATAATAGTCGAATATGTTACTTACCAACTGCATCTGTTTGGTACATAATAACATCATATGATTCTTCTTCATTTTTTTTCCATTTAACCGAGTTAGCATTTACCTCAGAAAAAACAAAAGGTACATCATATTTGATGTCCATAACTCCTTCTTTGATAGCAACTAAAGGTGCTGGACCCATCTGGTTAATACCTAAGAAAAAATTGTAACAATAATAATTGAGATAAAATAGGAATGATAAATTTCTGTTTTATGTACCAAAACCTGATTTACATATATAAAAAAAATTGTTTAAGTAAAGGTGTATTAACTTTTTGCTTTAGTTTATAATTTTTTATGTCAGTACAAGGTATAATTGAAGAAGAGCTTATTCTTTACAACATCAAAGTAAAAGGTTATTTTTTACAACATCAGAGTAATAGCTTATTATTTACAACATATATTGAAACCACTGAAAGTTTTGGTAGAAGGATCATTTTTTTTGAAAAAAATCCGAGACTAATATATCATAAACTGTTTTAATGTCACATGACAATAAAGAGTTTTTGATTATTCTTTATAGCTGAATAATAAAATGATTTAGAAAATAAAGTATCTGCAAATAATTATAATAATAATACTTTCTAGCCCATTCATATGAATTAGAATTTTTTTTCCTGTTACATTTCATAGAATTTAACATCTGCTACAGATTAAAATAATAATAAATTCTTCAATGGGAATGTTTTGTTATTGTATATACAACAGTAAAAGTTTACAATAAGGGCTTAAATAATATTTATAAAAAGATTTATCATACCAAATTTTATCAAACTTTTATCATACCATTTTATCAAATTTTAAAACTTTTAAAATACACAGACATAATTTGGCAAAGAAATTTGAAAGGATCTTAAACTTTAGGTCACCTCAGAAAAATAAATTTGAAGGGTTATGAAAAAAGTTATTTTAAAATGCAATCAACTATCAACTATGAAAAAGTGATTTAGGTGAATTATTCACCTTACTTTCAACACCTATTTAAACAGAATTACACACAACTTCTACCTTTGTTTTTTCAATACCTCTGTTTTTTCTTACCTCTGTTGTTTTTCAAGAAGCAATCAAAGTAATGCTTAACAAAGTTACTTCAAGAAAAAATATTGTTAAAAAAGAGATTTTGCTATATGTAACCATGGAATGTAAAAATGAAATTCAATCAAAAAGAAATGCTAACTAAAAATTTAATTAAACAATTTAATACTTGAGGTTTAAATTTAATAAGTGAAAGTTTGAATCAGAGAAAATATTTATGTAATTTAAATTTATTGCATGAAAATGAATGTTTAAAAAAACGTATAAAGATAATAGTGCTTGAGAAAAAAGAAAAACAAAATTTTTGTTAAACTAAAAAAAGCTAGATAAGTTAAATAACTCTGGCATTGAACATTTGGCTTTCAGCTAAAACTAATCAAATACGATGCTGTTGTTAACTAGGTACCAACAAAAAGTTTAAATTTTTCAAAATTAGAGATAATTTTCTTAATAATTTCAAAATTATCAAGAAAATTTTCTACATTGTAACACAGTTGAAGAGATGGTTCATGAAATAGATATAATCTGCAACGTTTATGTTCCTGGAAATCTATCTCTGCAGTAAATCTTATTTTTGTGTTTGATGCAACAACTCAAGAAGGAATCCACATAAACTCTATTTATTCTACAACCAAAATGTAGTGCCATGTTATAGTAATAGATTAAGGTGGGACTGCAAATGATTATGAAACTCATATTGTATCAACTTGCATTTTTGTAACCTGATTTCCATATTTGTGACAATCAAAGAGTCACACAAAAATTATTCTAAAACTTTTAAGTGCCATGACTGACCATGTTACCAATAATCATTCAGCTGTTCTGCTAATAAATAACAAGTTCTTGCAAATTTGCATTAAAATCAATTGAAAGACATCCCTTTTTTTCTTGGATTGTTTTATTTTACATAAAAACAAACTTTTGAAAAACATACACTCTATCTTATATTCACCCATACATGTCACCAAAAGGGAATTAATGCTTTCTTCAGCACTATTGATCACCAATTTATTAAACAAAATATTTGTAATTTAAATAAGTCAATTTCGATATTTAAAATAATTCACCTCATTTGGGCATCATTTTATCATCTCCTGCTATTTATCAAATATTTCTTACATATCCTAGCTTTTAATTAATATCAAATTATGTAAAGTTGATTTTATGGATGATACAATTGATTTATGTTAATTACATAACGTCTGAAACATTATTCAGAATTTACTTGAAAAAATATTTTACATAAAAAACTCATAGCTGTTTTAAAAAACTTTTAATGACTTCCTTAAAATTAATACCACACAAATGTTCATTTTTTTTTTGCCACATATGTAGATATAAAGATTATTTATATTTTTCATATTCAAATGAAAAGTCAAACCTCCGTCAACTTCTTGAGGAGTTGCATCAATAGCCTGCCATCCATCAAACTTTGAATCAAACAAATCAAGTCGTTTCATCCACACTTCATTCCATACATGAAAATTCCTTGAAATAAATAAATTTACAAACATATATAAAAGCTTACTTAAAAAAAAATTAAAATTAGTTAGAAAGCTAAAAAAAAAATTTAAAGCCTAAAATAATATAATTGTACTCCTACAGGTTAAACCACTAATATAGAACTCCTACAGGTTAAACCACTAATATATATATATATATATATATATATATATATATATATATATATATATATATATATATATATATATATATATATATATATATATATATATATATCTGTGTGTAATGTGTATAATTTGTTAATGTAATGTAATGTATATGTTAATGTATTGTAATAGAAATATTCTTTTTTTATTACATTTATTTTCTTTTCTTACCAAATTGTTTCTCCTGATTCTTTTCCTCCTTTTTCATCATAATAAATTTCATGAAAACAATCTCCATTTGATTCATGCGCAGACAAATAGTTTGTCACTGGACGACAAGGAATTCCAAGAGTACGCAAGACTAAACAAATAGTTAAAAATATTTTAGTGAATTATAACTTTTAACGTATTTAATTTAAAAAAAAATATATAACAATACAAAATCAAAAAAAACTATAAAAGTATTTTTATTTTTATCAAATTAAAAAAAAAATATTACAAATAAACATTTTGTAGAAATTACAAACTAGTCTCAAAACTTACTTGTTGTAATTAAACCACTGAACACCCAACATTGACCATATTTTACAGGTATGCCCCTTTTATAAAACTTTCTTAAAATAGCAGGTGAACCATTCCAATGTGATGGAGCAGTGCCATCTTCATAATTACCAGACCAGTTTCCAACCAAAATACCATTTTCATCATTACTGCTTACCTAAATATTACATGATATTTAAAAATTTGAACAAACCAGTTTAATTTACAATAGTGGTTTTTGGATAATATAAAATATAAGGGAAGAAAATATTTAGATTTTTTAGTGTCTTCCTTTGCAGCCAGGGCCTTAAATCACCATATTGATTTGGACCTTATTATACCATATTTGTGCATTTTAAGGCTTTTTTTATTGCCATTGAATTAATAACTTTTGTTGTAAAATTATTGAATTTTATTTTGAATTGTGATAAATTGTTGCCATTGGATGATATAAGGAAAATAGAAAAGTAATCAAGTTTTTGTTTTGTCCACTTTTCTGTTGTGGGATTTATGTTGTGCATTTATTCAATGAGAGAGTAAGTAATTATAAAGTGGTTTCTAACTATTTTTTTTTAAATTATTTTTTGTAGTGATTTTAACTAGTACTTTTTAAAATTATTATTAATATTATTTATTTATCATTTACTACTTACCAGTATATAAAGATCATTATAATGTTAATATTATTAAGATTATTATATTAACAATATTATAAAGATTGCAAATACCCCTATATATATATATATATATACATATATATATATATATATATATATATATATATATATATATATATATATATATATATATATATATATATATATATATATATATATATATATATATATATATATACAAAAGAAGTCATCTGTATATGGTTTATTGAACTTAAATATATTATTCTAATATATCTGCATTCCATGTGGAAAGCAGATAAGCAGGGGGTGTAGTAGATCTGGTCAGCAGTCAAAAATCAAAGAAATATAACTGGACTTTTATCAGTTGTTATTAATAGAGCTACCAGCTTCACCACCATTATCTCCAATCATTTAATGCCAAAATCCAAAAAAAAAAAGAGAATGACTTGAAATCCTGCTTTTTTAAATTGCTGAATATGAAGGAAATTTAGGTAAGATAATCTCTTTCTGTTTATTAAAAAAGTTTTTAATAATTTTAAAAACTTTTTTGACAAACAGAAAAACTTTTTATTAAGTTTTTTTATTTTAATAACAGCTTTTAACTGCATGTTGTGGGTTTATTGATTTAAGTATTATATACTTGTTATTGAATGAAAATATATAAATAAATAAATCATCTTTAGTATTTAAATTCTTTTATATAACAAAACAAAATGGTGAAATAAATCCTGATCCTTGTAAAAGTTGCTTAAGTTGATTTTTTCTTTATCACTCGATGATAGAAAAAAAAAAAGACAATTTTAATTATTAGAAACACGAAGAGAAGTTTCCACTTCTAAAAGAGTTAACTCATAAATTATTAGCACCTCCAGCATACTCTGTATTTTCAGAGCAATAACTTTCCAAATATGGAAATATTTACAAGAAAAAGCGATCAAGGCTGTTACCTCAACGTGGAGAAATGTTACTATTTATTCATCATAATGGAAATAAATTTATAAATGAGTGATAAACTGATGTATTAGTAGCGTTTAATTTTAATAGTATATGAATAATAAATTATTATTAATAATAATAACAATATTGAATAGAAACCATTAACATTAGATTATTTAAAAATATAACATTTCTTGGTTTATTAAATTTTTAAATATTATTAACTTGAAATATCTGGTTTATCCAAAACCGGATAATGTTATTATCCGACCAGATAACGAATATCGAATAATACTAATATCCGGCCGAATAGCTTATCCTGGACACCCCTAGTTTAAATGTGCTGCTGACTCGTCCTGTTTATGGAATTTATTGTTAATTTATTTCTTGCAAACTTCCAACTGTTAGGAAAATCATGCAACACTATACTTTTGTTAAATTAAAACTTCCTAGGAACCAAAGCCAAGCACAATAATCTGGCATTCCATCTGTTACAATGCAAAGAGTGCAGCAGAAAGTAGAGTCTTTGAACAATTAGTGGAGAATGATTCTTAAAAAAGATGGAAAGTTTAAATTTTTTATAGATCATAAAAAATGATTAGGCTAATTATTCTAGTGGTTACCTAACAGTGCAAAACTGAGTTTTACACAATTAGGTAATCTAATTTGTAAAATTTCTAAAAGCAAACTCTTTCGTTGATCCGAAAACGAAAAAACTATTGCATTTTATGTAAAGCAGATACATTTATATAGTAGTATTGTAATATCAAAAATGGCTTATTTTCAATTAGAAGGCAACAAAAGAAGTTAAACTATTTCTATTTTTTTTTTAATGATATGTATAGATTTAGAGCAACATTTTACTATCAAAGTAATTTGAACAAAAAAAAAATGCAATTATGATCTATCCTAACATACATGTAACAAAAGTTATAATAGATTATTAAAATAGACAAAGTTAAATTATTATTTGAATTGTAAAACCACTGATGATAACAAAAATAATAAATAACAAAAAAACAACGACAAAATAAAAATACCAATGAAGAAATCCATCGCGCTATTCCAACAGCATTTCGATCTTTAGCAGGTATATTATCCAAAAGATAAAATGCAGTGTTAAGACTTACTTCTTCAAACTATAAAATAATTTTCTACATTTTTTTCATATATATATATTACTTCTTCTAAACTCATTGCTTTATAAAAAAAAATCCAACAATTTTAGTAATCAAAAAATTTTTCAATTTTAATAAATACTTTTAAACGTTTCAAGAGCACTATAAACTGAAACTATAAACTAATTAATTTTTATTAAATCTAAAAAAAAAATTAAAATATTTTCGGCTTTTATTTTAAAATTTCATTTGAATTTATCCTAAAAATTCAGCTCACAAATTTTAAAAAATAATAATAACTCAGAACACAATATAAGAAGATCAAAATGTATTCACTAAAAGTATTTCTTTATAAATATAAATTTATAAAGAAAATATATACTAATTATATGCAGCAAATAAACTTTTTCAACAAATATAAATAAACATTTAAAACTATATAAATATAAAAGTCGTAAAAAGAAACAACTGTTGAGTTTGTTTCAGAGCATCATGAGCAAGCTACATTAAAAGTTTTGAACCTGTCCAAAATACCACTTTTTCTCCACAGGAGAATTCCAGCATCCTTGGTATATGATGCCGAATTGTCGCATTATATACTCATTTCTTTTTTCTTCAGATTCCATAAAAACTTCATCATCTAAAAAAAAAATTATAGCAAAAAATACATTGTTAAATATGTTTATATTTATTTAAACTTAAATGATCCAAATACCTTCATTCCATGGGTTAAATAAAATGTAAACTTTGTCTGTAGGATATTTAAAAGAATCGCTCTCTCCTTCAACCACAACAAGGTATTCACCCACTAAAGCATTTGATGGAATAAAAACTTGAACAAGAACACTATTTGGATCATCATTGCTCTTAATAATGTAAAACCATTTTTTTTCTTCTATAGCTTGGCTTAAATATTTTGGAGCTAACTCTTTCACTATAACTTTGGTTTTATTTGCCTCACGAGGATTACTTCCTGTTGACAGAGAAAAATAAAAACTGTCTTTTTGTGCTTCATATTCACGAGCTAGCCGTACAAGAACATCAAATGATAACCCTCTGCGAACAATGAGTGGTTTTGGATTGTCTGATTCAAAATTTTTGTAAAATTTTAGAGTATGATGTTCAGTTAAATCACCTTCACTCAGTTTTGGGATTATTTCAACAATTGGGATTTCTAAAAATAAAGTGAATTTTATAAATTTTATTAATATAAATAAAAAAAAAAAGGAATAGAAAGCAAAATTATTTTGATCTAGTAAGAAGGAATATTAAAAAAACAAAATCATGTTTAGTTTGACACAGGTTAACACAGACTAAGGGTCCAGAAGAAGTTCTGTTATCACTATGCAGACTATAAAATTACTTTAACATGTTTAACAAAAAAAATTATAAAAATTAAATTTTTTTTTCTTAAACATAATAATTAGAATCAGCAATTAGAAATCCCTAGTTGTGTTTTAATGACAGAATCCAGGTTAAAACTTGGCTTTTTTATAAGAAAACTTTTAAAAATTAACTGTAGCTAATAACTTTTGTTGTTTTAACTACTTTAAACTAAAAAAAAATTTTTTAAAAAGAGATTTATATTTTAAAATAAAAAGAATGCTGCATAATTATGCTAATAAAATCAATAAAAAAATTTTCTTAAGCTGAAAAACTTTAATAGTTTGAATTTGATCTTTATCGCTATTTTTTATACTGTTGCATGTTAATACTGTATCTTTAAAAAAGATTTCACATTTGATGGTTTTAATTGACCATTAGTGCTAAAGCCAATTAAAGTTAGACTTCAGATTAAAGTAAAAATTTAATTACAACTGTAAGTAAATAAAAGTTAAACACATAATTTTATTGTATCTTAAAAACTTCTATTATTTTAAAGTAATTAGAACTGAACATTTGTAAAAAAAGATGGTGCTAAATTAAGTTTATATTTACCTAGCTTCCATCTGAATATTAATTAAAATGCAGCATTTAATAAATTTTCAAAAAACTCATCAAACAATAAAAAAGACTTAGTATTTATATTTTGACTTTAAATAATTACTTAAATTGATTAAGCACTTGAATGTACATTCACTACATATTGCATTCTTTTTTGTTGTAGTTTATTTAAAAAAATTACAAGTGTAAGGAGGTAAGCCGAGCATAAGAAATCTTCAAAGAAGTTTATCATAAATTGACAATTATGATTTCATTAGCAGTAAATTAAAAGACATTATTTTCAAGAACAATTTATATTTATTACAAACTACAACTAAATACAACTACTATTGCTAGTTTTGGACATTTGTCAAGAAACTAAGCTTAATTCCACAGACTTTTAAGTGAAAAGTTTTTTTTTTTAAGTGCTTTTGCTTAGCACCACTTCACTCTATCGCCTTTCTCTTTTTTTTATATTGCTTTCTTTCATCTCAAGACTGCACACTTTTTGATATTATTTCCGATCAAATTGACCAATCTTTTTCACTTTATCCTTCAGCCAACATCATTGTTGTTGGTGACTTAAACGCTCATCACACTGAGTGGCTTGGTTCTTGTGTCATTGACTCCTCAGGTGTTAAGGCCCACAACTTTTGCCTTTTTAATCTCTAACACAAATAGTAAACTTTCCAAATTGCTTTCCAGGTAATATAAATCAATTACCTTCTCTACTCAACTTGTGTCTTGTTTCTGATCCTAGCAAGTGCTCAGTTTCTCCACATTCACCCTTATGTGATCTCTAAAACTATTATCTCATTCTTCTTCATCATCAGAATCCCCCTATCATTGTACCTCTTACAACAACCTTAAAGCTAACTAGCTAACTAGGGCTCTTTCAGTGATTTTCTTCATGATTGTTCTTGGGTAGAAATCTTTCTGCTAACAAATGCGCTTCTTACGTAATTTCTTGGATTCAGGCTAGCATAGTATCTAATATTTCCTCTCAACAACTCCAAAGCAAGCCTCACTCTTCATGGTTTTCCTATCATTGTACTGCTGCAACTTCCATATCTAATTCCAAAACAATTCTCTAGAAAATAAACGTCTCTTCACTATTGCTAGAAACCATTGTAAAAAGGCTTTGTCTAACACCAAAGCCCACTAATCTTAGGTCACAAAATCTCGTATTTTATCTCAAAAATTAAACTCCAGAGACTTATAAGAATCTTTAACAGTGTCAATAACAAGGGAACACCTGTTATTGCACCTCTCTTGCATGGTTCAGATTTTTTACCTCACCTAAAGCTGAATCATTTGCTAAGAACTTTTCATCAATCTCATCTCTTGATTTCACTAATCACATCCTACCTGATACAGCTGACAAACATGTTGATCAATTGCTTGACCTTTGTATCACTCCAGCTTCTATATCTAAAGTGATTTCTTGCTTAAACTTATTTACAGCTTGTGGTCCAGACAACATACCTGTTATGGTCTTGCAGAAGTGTTCTCTGGAGCTGTCGTCTTTACTTTTAAAACTATTTAACAAGTGCTTACCAGAGTCTAGTTTCCAGCTTGCTGGAAAGTAGCATCTTTTTTTTTTAACATCTTCGCTTCCAACAAGGCTGCAAGCAACCACTGATTAGTGTTGGAAGTTATTGGAAGGGAAAAGATGAAGATTGCAGAGCAAGATAACGATTGACAGACAACTTAAAAGATTGTAAAATACATGAATCAGAAAAGCAAGATGAAGGAAATGAATTCCAAAGAACTGATGTTCAAGGAAAAAAACTACATGAATAAGAGTTTTTAGAGCACTTAGGAACAGTAACAGAAAAAGGATGAGACTTAATTGAGTGACGAGTAACACAAGAATGAAATTTAGTAGATGGCACAAGAGACGCTAGCTCTTTAGAGCAGTGCCCATTATAGTATTTGTAGAAAAGAGAAAGAGAAGCAACATTACGACGATGTGACAAAGATTGAAGGTTGGCTGCAAGAGCAGGTCCAACTATGTTTACAATCCGTTTTTGCACCTTGTCTATTATTCCTATTTTCAAAAATTCTGGAGAGCCACCTAATTACCATTCCATTAGTCTTCTTCCTATCATAAGCAAGGTTTCTGAGTTTTTAATCAACAAATACTTAGTCTCTCATCTTGAACCTGATAACTTTTTGACTATCAATATGGATTTTAATCTTCTCATTCTACTGCTGATTTTAGTAGATGGCACAAACTATGCTTTTTTATAAATACTATAATGAACTATATAGAACGCTGCTCTATAGAGCAGCATTCTGTATAGTTCATTATAGTATTTATAAAAAAGCATAGTTTGTGCCATCTACTAAAATTTTACTTTCTTTTTTTTACTTTCCATTTAATTTTTGTTACTTTCCATTTAATTAAGTATCATTCTTTAACTTAAGTGCTCTAAAAATCCTTATTTGTCTAGTTTTTAGTAGCTCCCTTTTTCTTGTTTACCTGATTCATATAATTTGCAATCTTTTAAGTTGTCTGTTAATCATTATCTTGCTTTATAAACTTTATCTTTTCTCTTTCAGTAACTTCCCACTCTAAAAGGGATTGCTTGCAGCTTTGTTGGAAGTAAAGATGTTTAAAAAAAAAAATTACAAACCAGTCTATAAGCAAAAGTAATTAAATCAAAATTTAATTAAATACAAAAGTAAAATGTGTGAAACATCAACAAATTATGCCTACAGTACTGCTAGAAATGTGATTTAGTTATATATATTTTATCAAGATTAATTAACATTAAACAACTTTAATAAAAATAGAAAATACAAGATTTCATTAACCATATATTTAACAAAATATTTTTTTCATTAACCATATATTTACCAAAAGACAGTTTTTATTCATTGCATAAATACTTATTTATTCATAAACACCTATTTTTTTATCAAGTCTTTTAAAATATATATTTTTTGCTTGCTTAATAAAAAAACATTTTTTTCAAAATAGCCTGAAATAATTTTACAACTTATTCATAAAACTTCAAAATGTTTCTTGTAAGACTGGATCACTCAAGTAATATGAGAGCAAATAGGAAGGGGCAGGGGGATGAAATCAGGGTAAATAAATTTGTATTGTTTTAATGCAAACTCTGAATCATAAATTACCTATTTATTTCATAAGTCATTAAAGAATTCTGTCAAAATCAACAACAAAATGCATTTACCTTCTGTTTCAAGTTCAACACGTAGTAAATGATAAGTGCGGCTGTAATAAAGCCAATTATTAAACAGAAACTTGTGCGTTTTATCACCATCTACTACTTCAACCTATAAGTTGAACAAAAAAACCTAAATGATTGAATGCCAATAATTGACAATATTTAACACAGAAAAAAAAGAATTACTTTTATTAAGTACCACGAAGGAGAAAAACCAGAATTATCATGTCCAATATCAATTTTCCACAAGTAACCAACATCTTTTGTACTTATTTCAAACACATCGGCATTGCTAATTAAAAATTATTTTTTTTTTTCTTAAAAATGCATTGTCATACATACATTAAAAATAAATTAAATTGCATTAAACTTATTAAGTACTAATATGAATTCTTTTCAAACAATTTTAATTTACTATTGAGTGAGAAAAAATCTTAGCATAGCAAAGAAAATGAGATTTTGGTTTAAAAGTGTTAAATGTTCAGACAGCTCTAACTTGATATGCAAACATGTTAATAGCATAAGTCTTTCCATCACTGCTAATAAATATGTGGAATCTTTAACTTTTAGCATACTTTAACGTTTGGCATACTCGTCTTTTCAATAAACTTACTTCATTTGGTATATGTGAAATATTTTTTAGACTATCAAATACCTCAAGGTTCTATCCTTGGTCCTGTTTTATCTCTTATCTACAATAATGATCTTCCTGACAATCTTACATCTAAAGTGGCTCTATTGTTGATTCCAGTTTATTATCCTGTCTTGACAAAAGGTCATCTCTTTTTTTAATGGTCAAAAACAGGTAGCCAATCTTGAATCTGATCTTAATTCTGTAACAGATGGCCTGCAGTAGTTTGGGAACTTTAACTCAAACAAAGCTATTTTATAACTTATAATGCAGTAAAATACATATATCTTAAAAAATATATATTTTACTGTACAAAACTATTGCAATACTGCCAACATTCTTATACTGATAAATGGCAACCCTCTCACTGAATCCTCTTTTTTACATTTATTGGATTATCATTCACTACCAACATCTCATAGAAACCATATGTACAATTGATTACAAAGCTAACATCTGCTAAGATTGTTTCTTTTTATCAACCTTGCCTTTATGTTACTCCTGATTTCATTCCCTACCTCTACAAATCCCTCATTTGTCCTTATTTGAAATACTGCTATCATATTTAGATGGTTCTTCTAATGACACTCTTTTGCTTTTAGAAAAGATCTAAAAACATATTGTAAATAGAGTTGATCCTGCTCTACTTGCCAAGTTTGAGCTTCTTCTATAGCTGTAAAGTTGCATCTCTTTCTCTTTTCTAAAATACTATCATGGTTGCTGCTCAAAGGAGCTATTATCTTTAATTCCATAAACAAAAACTCATTATTGCCTGACTCTTCATTCAGCCTATGTATCTGTTCCTGCATTCTCTTAAAATTTTGATTTTTCCCCCGCATTTTACCCTTTGAAACTCTCTCCTATCATCATGTTTTTCTGACTAATAGAACCGACAACTTTCAAAGTTCTCTTTAAACTGTTTTCTTGTTCTCTAACTCAATTTTTATTTTCTAGTAACAGTAGTTGTTGTTAAGCAGTAAAAACAAAACAAAAATCTGTTTTAAAACTTGTAAAGTATTAACAATTTTTTAAAAGATTTCAAAAAGATAATCAATATAAGTTTTTTTTAAACATTTTTTCTTGTTTTTTTATTTATTTATTTTTAATTTAGATGTTTTTTTTTTAAATCCAAAGGTCAGAAATATTTCTGAAATCTTAATAAATATGAGGATATTTATCAAGACCCTATAAAGACTATAAAGATCCTCTATGTGTAAGATTTCAGAAATATTTTCTGACCTTGCTAAAATAAATTTAGAAGTTTTTGGTCTTTTTATATTCAAAGTTTAGAAATTCCTTCTACCTAAGTTTTTCTTCTCACAGGCTAATTGCCTTTATCACAACAAAAAATGTCCATGATATTAACTTAATGTATTAAAACATGAAAAAATACAAAATCATAACTACTTACATTCCAAAGTGACCAGTCTGGAAAGGACTCTTTCCACTAACAGGTTTTTCTAACACTATTTTCTCTGAAGCGCATATATTTCCATGAAGTACAATTGAGACCTTTGCACTAGTACCAGAGAAGTATTTGTTTCCAGTGTGACATTTAACCAAATAAGTTTTACATGGAACTAAAATATAAGACAAATTAGTCTGATAATTTGATTGACAAATTAGATATTCAAATAAAAAACCAGAAATGATAAACAATAACAACTAGACTAATACCGATGTCGCATAAACTACAACAAAACAAATATTTAATTTTACAAACACTTATCACACATAAATATCGACTTGACACTACAAATCACAGCATAACCATTATGTAAATATTTGTAACAGTAAATATATTATACTTTAGTTCACAAAGTCCTTATAGCCACATAGTTTTTATGAAATTTTGCAACAATTGTCTTGATAGGATCACCTATCAAGACAATTGTTGCAAAATTCCAAAAATTAAAATTCCTATTTGACGTATAATATATAGACATATAAAAAAACCCTTATAAACCAAATTGGATACTTTCTTGGGATTCTGGTCAAAAAAACACTCATTGTTCAACAATTAAAAGCTATTACTAGTGATATATTTTTTAATTTTATATTCTGTTTCACTCTAAACAAGGCTGCAAGCAATCACTAATTAATGTATTTTTGTTACATTATGTTTTATCAGATGGTGATATATTTTATAGGATAACTACAGCTAGTTTTTCCTTTAAATACATTGTTGTTATTTTTATGTTAGTGTTATGATACTTTCATTTAAAGATTACAACTAGAAATGTTAAAAAAAGCATCCACCCTTAATTTGTGACAATACCTATTACCATTATTGTGATACCCATAATAATTACTAATTAATGCTATGTTCTGATTTGTATACTTTCACTACAACTATTATCTGTAAAAAACATTATAGTAAATTCTAGTGAATTAATAGTATAGGAGGTGATTATAAATCCCTTGTATTTTGATGTAACTATTGACAACCAACTGTCTAAGCAAAACAAATTTTTTTCCACTTTTAATTTTTTATTTCACAATGCTACAACTCTTTATAATGCATCTGATTTTCATTCTGCAATGTAAGTGGCTACTTATTTATGACCAACCAACACAATTGATATTTATGATGGTATAAACTTATATCAAAGATGTAACAGGGTCTTTCTGAATTGTGGTTGGTGACTCTACAATAGATTTCAGTCCACTGACTGTTTCAAGAATCATTTGCCCAATTTTTTTGAGTCTTACCCAACTTATCAAGACACTTTAAATAAAAGGAGCTTAATAATTTATGCAGCAGAAATTGTAACAATTACAAAACTAATAGATTGCTTGCACATTTGCATAGAGAAAATACAAAATGCTTATGCTGATAACTCATCAAAGTGTCAATCAATGTCTCAGCAGCATGTCATAACAATGGAAAATTCCAAGTCAATGATGGCCTGATAGCACACATGATACAAATAGTTTAAAGAAATCAAAACTTGTCAAAAAAATTATAAATGGAACTAAAAAATCATACTACTGGATGATTCTGGCTATAAATATCTATGGTAGTGGCTTATGCCATAGGCTATGTCCTAAATCATGCCATATGTCCTACTACAGCATTTCAATGTCCATATTATACATCTTAAAAATAAAAGCAAGGGTTTTAAGTAAACAAGTGTTTGGAAGGTGTAAAAAATGCATTCAGTTGTTTTATGATAAAATTTGATTATCTTAAAAAAAAACTGTAAGGTTTTTAAAAATATTCAAATTTTATTCTATTTAATTATATGTTGAAATTTTATTTTATTTAGTTGCTGGCCTCAAATTATGTGGATATGGATAAAAAAACAATCAAGAATTATGAAAATATTTTTGATGATCAAGTTAAATTCATATTTGCTGTAAATTTTTTTCATTTTTAAGTAAAATGTGTAACCCACAAGAGCGTGTAGGCATTAAGATAAATAGCCGCGCGAATAAAAACGAGCAATTGCTTTTACTCAGTAATTGGTCAGCTTTACGTGAATAAAAGCTTAAAATTTTTTTTACGTAAAGCTGAACAATTACTTAGTAAATTGCTTAACTTTACATAAACAAAAATTTGACCCAAACTTTTAAGTTTTTGTTTACGTAAAGCTGACCAATTACAAAGTAAAAGCAATTGCTTATTTTTATTCACTCGGCCTTAAGTATTAAAAAAAAAATCTTGTTGGCATCGCGATGTTTATATCTGATGTAAAAAGCAACACGAACACCTTAAAATTATTAAAAATGAAAATTAGTTGAAAAAAAAATTAAAATTAAACTAAGATTTTCTGCTTTTACTTTCTAAATGTTCTGCTTTTACTTTTTAAATTAAAAATGATATAATATTTACTAAAAACAGAAAGTGTGGAAAGAAAGGAGAGAAAGTTTAAGCCCTCGCAAGTCCCCACTTGTCTAAAGCCATACACCTCTAATACATTTTAGTAACTTTTACCGTACTTTTCTTAATAGAGCATTTAAGTAACATTTTAAGTTTACAACTAGATTTTAATTATAATAAATAATTTAATTGTAAATATATATTAAACTCTAAATTATAGATTTTTTAAAAACTTATTAAAAGAAAAAACATGTACCGCAGTTTCTATAACAGATCTATATTTCATAAAATTGTTACCTAAACTCTTAAACATTTTATCATTATTATTATTAATCTTATTATAGTTGTAGCTGTAAAATATACATACAATATATACATACAGCGAGCAGGGAAAATACCCTACTATAAACAACTAGTTTTATAAATATTCGTTCCGAATTTTATTCTCAACCATTGATCTAATCTAACTTTAAAAGAAAGTTCAGTTTAGTATAAAGTTACTTGCTCGGATAGTTCATTCTAGTATTTTGCTGATCTATTATATAGTCGGTTGTGTCTTGGAAGACAGTTCGGAACATATTCACGTCTTATTTTAAGATAGTGACCACGTGACAATGAGTTAATAAATTTTGGTTGATATACATTATTAATTATATCAAATCGATGTATTAGTTTAAAAATTTGTATAAGATAGCATCGTAGGCGCTGAAACTCGAGTGATGGTAGATTTAGTCTTTTAAATCTTTCGTAGTATTGAAGAACTTGTATAGAAACTTTCGTAGTATTGAAGATTTTGTAGAACTTTTCCATTCCAAATTTTCACTCCGAATCTATCATTTACTTTCATCTATACTGTTTTAAAAAGTTGTTAAAGAAAACGGAAGCTTATCAAAATGTCTTCTTTAATAATCTTTGACAAAACGTTTAAAAAATTACTTTTGTATCAAATTATCAATTAAATAAAAACATTAAAAAAAAACTTACTAAATCACAAATTATTTATTTTTTCAGTGTTTTATTTTATAGCATACAACGATACAACGCTCAATCAGGAAAATTATTTTTCAAAAATTTGAATGACTTATTACTTCCTCGTCCTAACTCTAACCGTTTTTTAAGATTAAATATCAGAAAACACAATGAGTGAGGAAAATTGTAAACTTTTTTATAATAAGATTGAACTGTCTGACTTGATTATCCATCAATATACTTGTTAGATGTTATTTTTTCAAAAAATCTAAAGCCAGTCTCCAAAATTATATATATTTTTTCAAAGGTGTAAAAAATAAACAGTGAAGTTAAAACTATTGCAGTTAACTTATCATTGACACCAAACAACTTTGTAGGCTTCCAAACTCATTTTATTTAACGCATTCAGTAGATTTTGCAACTAAATCTATAAAACATTTAGCTGGGTTTCTTTTTGAAATTAGTTGTGCAGTTTAATTTTTTGTTGTTTTAAAGTTTTATTCATTTTTATTAAAAAAAGTTCTGTCAAAGAATTTTAATAAATTTTTTTTGTTTAAGTTGAAAAAAAAAAAGTATGCTTCAAAGAAATTTAGCCTATTGTGTGAAAATATTTGTGCATTGAGTGCTTTGAGGGGTAATTCTAAGAAACATAAATTTGAAAGACCTAGGAGGAGTAATTCTAAGAAACTCTATTTGAAATTCTATTTGAAAGACATTGTTCTTTTTTGCTTTTCTGCTACTCCGGGTAGATTTCTATATTAAAATTAAAAAGTGAACGTAGTTACACTTTTTGTTATTTAAAAATCATGGTTCGAAACCGCTATATTTTAAATTTTTACTCTTAGTTTGAAAAAAAGTTTTCAGAAGGCGTAGAAGAAGATTTTTTTTTTAATTTTTAACTAACAAAACATTAATTGAAATTCTTAGCAACAACTTATATACATCCTTAATAATTTTTAATGTAATTAAAAAATTAAAATAAAGGCATTTTTACATTGAATTCGTACAAAAGTACTAGTAAAAAAAAAAATTTTTAAACTTTTTTATTGAGAAAAAATATCAAACAGAAACACTCAACAACGGTATAGATTTTAGATAAAAGTTTTTTTCAATAAAAAATTAACAAGAAAAACAATTTTATAAAAAAATAAAAAGCGTTGTTAATGTGGTCTTTTAGGAGATAATAGTTTCGGCCTTGATTAGTTGGTGTTGGTGCATCAATCTCACGAACAAACTTCTTTGGTTGGCCATTTGAAAGTTTTCTTTAGGTGCAGTAGAATATTCCATATGAAAAACATAAATATGATCACTATTGACCTAATGGTTGTGTTTTTAAACAGATGTTTCCATGATAAAATGATGTATTATCTAATTAAGCATAGAGATTTTTAAAACAAGGAAAATCATTTTTAACTTTGGTAAAAACAAATCAGCGAGACAAAAGACTTCAACAAGGTTTCTCATATCTATATACAGCAGTAAAAAAGACTTTTTTTCTCAGTTGACCATTTTTACGGAAAAAGAAGAGATTAACATGTGAAGTCATTCCTTTATTTCCAAAACACCCTTTTTCATGGAATTTAGCTGGCAAGCTTTTTGATAAAAATCTTTCAGCCAAAATCCAGTTTTCTCATCAAGTTGCTCAAAAGCAACTATTTTTAATGTGCATCACGGATTTGATATTTAATATACACTTCAACTTTTTTTTAGTCACAATTAAATCATATAAAAGATCTTCATTTTCACTACATATGATTAACGAACCTAGTTGATTATTGAAATGAGGTCAGCACCTCATAGAGCAAAATAAATTTTATTTTAATATGTTCTGTTAAATATTTATCAATTTATTTTTTACATAAATTATTATTAATTATTACTTTTTAAATATACATTATTGTTTAATTATAAGTAGTTAGGTTAAAGATATTTTTTCAATTTATAAACAAATGCTTAAATCTATTTTCCCAATTATTTCTCGGGCCCGTTTAATATGCGGGGCCACCGGCTTTATTCCAAAAAGTCTGGTAATGAATCCGGAACTGTATAAAGTTATTATTTACATTTATTGTAAAATGACGTTTTTGAAATGTTAGATATTTTATTTCCTAAAACCTCTAAGAATTATTTAAATATAAGAAAACAAAAAAAAAAAAAAAAAAAAAAAAAATTATTTTAACGCAAACAACGTAAGTGTATGCAAATTGTAAAATGCGTAACGATTTAAAATAAGACCTGTCCTAATGCAATTTTTCAACTTTAAAATATACTAAGTTAATATTTCATACCTTCCTCTTCATCAGGAAGCACTTCGAATGTTATTGAAGAGTCTTCTAGATTAAAAAAGCATAAAATTAATGTTTATTAGTTTGCAAAGGTGAGTGATAAGATTTTTTAAATAAACTTTGGTGCAAATACAAAAAAAATCTAATGCAGTAAAATTGCGCAAAATGCTACTCTGGTGCAAGTTCATAGGTGCCCGGAGGTTATTTATTTAATGCTTTAAATAGAACATTTTCAGAGATTATACAAACTTAAAACTTCGGTTCATGCTTATGTAAAATAAGAAGTTTTTGCAAAAAACTGTCGTGATTGGAACGAAAAGCAAAAATATCCTAAAAAATAATGCTCCTCTACCCCAATTATGAGAGCAATCAGTTAATAAAATATTTACTTTACCATTTTATTCTAAAACTGTATACATCAGCACATTTTAAATTTAATCTCATAATTTTTTAGCGTGGGTAATAAATCAAAGTTCTTTATTTTAGGGTTGGGGAGGGGGATGATTGTAAAGTTAGATGGCTATAAATTTCGAAAACCAAAAGTTTATTTAATATTAAGACTATAGTTCCTGAATCCTATAATGTTCAAAAAACGGTGGCTTTGCAAAAAACGGCGGTGATTGTACACAATCACCACCGTTTTTTGCAAAACATTTTCACATAATATACGCATATATGTAATTAAGTTTAGGACTCGAATAACTCCTAAACTTTTTATATCTAAATCATAAAAAAGTCCTATAGATACTCATTTTGTTCCCTCAAAATATTTCAAGTACTGTGCTCAAACTCAAATTTGGCAGTTTTCTAGTGGTTGAGTTTATATGCTTGTAATAATAAAAAAAAAGTTTTAACAACAATAACCTAATAGATTAGGCGTTGATGGTTTCAATGTTGCTGAATTTGGTCTAAAAAAAGAAATAAGTAATGAAGACTTATAATGAATCATTTATTGCAAACAAGAAATTACTAGTTAAGTTAATAAAACAAGAAACTATTAAAAGTAAAAATTTCTTAAAAATTACCTAGAAGTCATCTTCGCTGTCAAAATATGACTTAGATGAATCTATAGTTTGAAAAATAAAATAAAATTGTTAGTTTGGGTTGGATTGTAAAGTATGGTTTTTTTCAAAAAACTAAACTATTTCACTAAATAACACTAGAATTTATGAAGATGTTGAAAAAATTATGAAAAAAGCATTTGGCGTTCCTAAGTTGATAATATACCATAAAAATTTAAAATCTCCTAAAAACAAGGGTTCTCTAGAACAAAGTTTTACATGAGTATAATTTCTGAACATAATAACAATTTTTAATAAAATTTTAATTCCTTAAATAAATTTTTATATAGTCTAAAATATTAGAACTTGAATATAAAAAAAGCAAATTGCCCTACATTTAATTAAGAGATACCTACTTTTTTGGGTACTTTTATTTCAAAAACATCCTTATATGAGATAATGAGTGTACAAAAGTTTGATATTTAAAACTTATCTGAATGTTACTTAGCTCAAATTGTCTAAAAATCCTGGATAAACTTTTGAATAACTTTGTACCATTAGTTAAATAAAGTAATTAGATAAAACTTACATGAAGAGTGTTCGCTAAATATCTTTGTCGATGATTTACTAAATACCGTACTCGATGAAGACTTAACTAATTGTGACTCTTTAAATTCAGATTCACCAAAATATTCTTTCTTCTCTAATTTGTTAAAACTTGAAGAAAAGTCCTCGCTAGAAGTTTCACTGTATCTTTCACTAAGACTTTTATAATGGGTTTCTGCAGATAATGTACTTTCTATTCTTTCGGATAAATCTAAGTTGTTCGTTCCTGTTGGTGATCGTAATCCTACAGGATATTCTTTCTCTTTCTCTATTTCCTTTTCTTTATAACGAATTTTATTTACAGTAGGTAAAAATTTCCATCCAACTACAACTTTTATTTTTGCGTCCTCTTCTCTCTCTTCTTCTAGATTTAAATCTTGTTCTTCTTCTTCTTGTTCAAAGTTTAAATCTTTCTGTGAAACTTAATTAAAGAAAATTAAAATTAATTTTCGTAAAGGGTTTGAAATTTCTATACACAAAAAATATAAGATTTTAAAATATGTTAGCATTAATGAACATTATTACAACATTATTAAAATAAAAAATCCATTTTTTAATCTTGCGATTAGCTTTCACAAAATATCTAAAAATATAGCCAGGTTGCAAAAAATTTGAAAAAATTGCTTATTTAGATTTTGTTTACTATTTAAAATTAAATTGAGCTTCACGTTTTTTTTTTCTTAAAATCATTAAAAAAAAAAAATTGGAATATAAAATAACTATGACAATTGTATCTCGGTAACCGATAACATAACAGATATTACGTTTGAGCTCACAGCAAAAAGTATATTTAATTTATAGTTACTTTTCATTTATAATTTATTCTTACTTTTCATTTATAATTTATGCTTACTTTTCATTTATAATTTATGCTTACTTTTATATTTGATAACTTGCTGGCGTGAATTGTCCAAACTTTGATCCGTATGAATAAAAACTTTCACCATGCAGTTACCTAAAAGGTACAATCAACGATGAAAATTAATAATAGCATCGTTGAACCTATAGTTTTTTTTTTTTTTGTAAAACAGCCTGATACCTGGTCTGACAGTTTTTATATTTTGATATGGGCCAACACTGATCACACCTATTAACCAATAACAACCAATAAAATGAACACATAAAAACAATTAAAAATTTATAAAAAGAGTTTTAACAGAAAATATATCATTTGCAAACACAAAAAAAGATAGAGGCATTATATTGACTTTATTGTTATATTTTGAGATATTTTTTATAACAAAATCATATATATTTTAAATGTTTTTCAATTATCTAATAAATAAAAATAAATAATAAAATGATAATAATAAAAAAACACATGAAAAACAATAAAGGAAAAAAAAAAGAAAAAAAAAGTGAGAAACAATTAAACCAATCAAGATAATAAAAAAAATTATAATAATGAAAACTATAGTATTGTTATAGTAAACTAAGCTAAAAAAAAAAAGATTAAAAAGCAGTTACAGTCAGGGCCTTATTCAGACCGCATTTCACCCCATACTTAAAATTTCTTCGCGACGGCCCTGGTTAAAATAATTATAATTATACTCTATCGGGTGGACACGGAAAAATCCGGTCAACTTTAAATTGAGATTTCTCCAAAACCACAAATGCTTTTTATTTAATTTTTTTCTAAATTAAACTTTACTTCCTTATCTTAAATGGTGTTGATAAATTTTTGTTTACAAATTAATGACTTGCAAAATGTTTTGGAAACAAATTGAGGTACGTAAAAAAGTTGATTTTTTTTTTCAAAAATCCATCGACTTCCTATCGCTTGATTGCGAAACACACAAATACCCCAAAATATATAGTCATAGATATTATAAACAAGTTTAATACTACTCAAAGCTTCGAAAAAAACTTGGAAGTGGAAAATAAAAAACTTTCCATAAATCCAAAAAGGTAAAGTTGATTTTACGTTCAATTGCAAGAACTCCAAACCAGTCACAGCTAGATCTAGCAAGAAAATTTAAAACTTCTCGTTCTTTTATCAAAAAAGTACTTAAAAATACTGGAATTAAAGCATTTCATAAAAAAATACACCTAAGAGAAGCTTAAATTGTCAAATTAAAAGAATTCGAAACGCAAAGAAGTTGGTTAAAATCATGGCGGATAAAAGTATATGCATAATTAAAGACGACGAAACTTATTGCAAGGCGGACTTTTCACAAATTCCTGGTCAACAGTTTTACTATCAAAGCAAAGATAAACCTGTCGATGATTAATTTAAATATATTCGACGAGAAAAATTTGCATCCAAGTTCCTTGTGTGGAAAGGAATTTATAACTATGGTATGCAGTCCTCTTGTTTTGTTACTAAAAAGACCTTGACTGCCAATCTCTACATCAAAGAATGCCTCCAAAAAAGTCTTTTGCCTTTTATATAAAAACACAAATACCGATGTCTCTTTTGGCCCGATCTTGCTGCCTCTTACTATTCTAAAAAAGTTCTACAGTGATGCAAAGATAATAATGTGAAAATTATTCCTAAATATGCGAGTCATCCAAATTGTCCTGAAGAGCGCAACATTGAAGGTTTTTGGGCAATAGTTAAAGGAGTTTTTCGTAAGACAGGTGGTGTAACAAATAATAAAAAGGACTACCAAAAAAAGTGGATTAATGCCACCAATATAGTGAAAAAAGAAAAGTTTGTAAAAGGATGACATCAATTCGCTATAAAGATCGATTTCTTGCCAAACAACCCATCAAGCCCCTTAAAATTACGTCGAAACTCTAATTTATGTAAACGCATTTAATAATAAAAAAATTGAAATAAAAAGCATTTATAGTTTTAGAGAAATTTCAATTTAAAGTTGACCGGATTTTCCGTGTCCACCCGATACACTACAAATTATATATAAAGTACTAATAAAAATAATAATTTTTTAAAACAATAGTAGTTTTAATAAAAACAGTTATGGTATTATTAACAATAAATATAGTATAATTAAAATAAATATCGTATAACCAAAAATGAATAAAAAATAAATAAATAAATAAAACATCAAAGTAACACACCAATATGAAATAATAATATAAACTTTTTTATCGTTTTGTTTTGATTTATAAAGATATAAATTATAGCAACTTTATGCAGAATAATAATTAATATAAGTTATTAATCTGCGTATAAAAAATTAAAAATATACAAACAACAACAAAATAAATAAATCCTTACCAAAGGCTTCGCAAGTCTTTTCGACTAAATTAAAAAAATTGTCATTGTTAATTAATTATTTTATTATTTATTATTTTAAAACGAACAGAAGCTCATTAACAAAAATATTTTAGCTTAAAAATTAACTTAACATTAAAAATACCTGTATGATATGTTTTTTTTTTTTTTTAAATAATTAATAAATCTAACGAAAATTATATAAATTATATCACGAAAAATATATATTTTTTAACTAATTTTATATTCAGTTTTAGAAAACATATTTATGTTGGTTCTAATTAATGAACTAGTGACCTTTTCTAAATGATGGCTTTAATATATATATATAATATGATGTTTTATATAATATAATATATGTGTGAGTTAGTATTGGAAATTTTGGAGGAGGGGGAAAAAAACATTTAGTGTTAAAAGAAAAAGTTTTTAATAGAGAAAACTCAAATAATTTTTTTTTTAATTGTATTTGACGTATTAACCAGATATAAATACATACTAACTGACATACTAAGATACATTTCCCCCCCCCGCATTATGACTTATATTAGCTTAAAGCAAAATGTTTTTAAATCAGCTCATCTTGTCGTGAAAGTAAACTATAAAAAATATATTACAAAGGGATTACAATTGCATTCGTACTCATATGACAGGAAGGCGTATTCCCACCACTGATTTAAACATATATTCAACAAATATTATATTGCTTGCACAACGTTATATAGAAGTTACCACACGAAGTTGCTATTTTTATGTTATAAACGGGAATTAAAAATCCATTAAATATTGAGGTATTAAATACCCACTATAATAACACCAAAAGTTACTTACCTGTACTAGCAGTTGTCAACGGGCTAGGAAAACTTAGCTGAGTTTGACAGTTTTGAGAATTTAGCTGACTTATTTGAACTTTATAACCTTTTTTCCAAGTAATAGAATAAGATTCACCAGAATGATGATTATTGTGAAAATGCCTTTTTTGATCTTTTGAATTATAATCTGTTATAAATGGCGTAGTTATTTTAAAAGTCTTTCTATCAGTATGTTTTTGCAGAATAATTTTTTTTGTTTCGGTTTTTGCCTTTTGAATAACTAATAACATAACAAAAGTATTAAGTTTTAGTAAAACTTCGTTTTTATTTGCTCAAAGACATCATTTTAAGTTACAAAATATAATAGCACAAACTAAGTAAATTAAGCTTACCTTTAATATTGACAGGAGAAGATATATAGGAGTCTCGGTGAGCATGAACGTGCCACTTGGTGGGTGAGATTACTTCATATACAAGCATCTGATCAAAGTAAACAAACAAAAAAATCTTTAACACTACAACAACAAAACAACAACAACATTGATACTTTAACACAACAACAACATGTCACTTTATATACTTTTCTCCATTAAAAAATAAATAAATTAATGATTATCTAGGACAAAGTAAAAATGGTTTTTACTAAATAGCTATCATTAATTGAAACAAATTAAAAAAAATACATCCCTAACCTGATAATAAAAAAAATTTACTTTTTAGCTGATGGTTGTAATGTTTGTTGAACCATTATCTGATCATTAAGATACAGAATAGCTGTTTGTTACATATTAAGTTATTGGTAGGAAAAAATTCCGTGAAGAAAACCTCAAATAGTGAATTGATCAATTTGCGTCCATTCACATTATTTTTAAATGAAATTCTTTTTTTATTATTCATCATTTCACCATATAATACTTTAATATATGTATTTTTTTTTGATCAATTATTTATTTTTATACACTGATTTTTATACAATTTTTTTAAAAATTAATTTTAATAAGATACCATAAAAGTAATAAATAATTTTTTTTTTTTAAATGTAATAACTTAATATTCAAATATATATTTTTGATAACTTAAATAATCAAGAATCTTTAGAAAAGTAGTTTAAATGGTCCGCATTTAAACTATTTTTCTAAAGAATAAATTATTTGATATCAGTTATAGTTTTTTATTACCTAAATTAGCATAGTTT